AAAAGGATACACATTATCAGCAAAAAAATCATTACATTACACACATTACAGTTGCGTATAACTGACTTATATACTCCAAAATCCAAATCTCAAATTAAACTCAAACGAATTACCAAAAAAAAAAAGGGAAGAAGAAGAAGAAATCAACAGGTTGATTTCCACTATAATATCTCTACATGATTTTATCACTGTTAGATCTGAGTACAAAAGCCAGAACTAAATCACACGATTATGGACGATTATGGGATCTAATGGGGCTGGGCTTGGACCGGCAGCTGAGGAGCCAAGCCGAGCCACGGCTCGGTCTTCACCGGGTTCGGCTGCGCCGGTTTGGTCACTTGGTACGGCGCGTTTGCTGTGATCCTGAATTAATTAATCAAGATTCAAATTTACCAATTAATAAAACATAAATTGAAATATAGATTCAGTAATTAATTTGATTTTATTTTATTTTTGGAGAAAATTGCATACCTATCTTTTCTCTTCTCCAAAAACCGGGCTAACGAATGTTTCCTCGCGATCGGTAAATCATTAGCAAGCGCCGGGTGGGGAACGTGGACGGCACGCTCCGGTTGCCCAAAGGGAGCGACAGCAGTAGCGGCGCCGGCGGCGGGCGAAATTACCGCGGTGTGGGCAGTATGCGGCGAAGCAAAGGACTTGCCGGCAAGCGTCATGATCTCCTTGGCCTTGTCAGCCGGTAGATCGTCGAACACCAAGACCTGACCCGCGTAGAATATGGTCATCTGTCCGGTTTGCTTATCGGGCCTCTGGCCGCTGAAAATCCAACCGCACCTTTTTCAGATCGAGATAAAAACAAAACAGGAACAAAAAAAAAAAAATAGATTGAAATTATTATGAAATTTAAACAGAGGGAATAATTACCCGTCGGATTTGTTCAGAGCTGCTTCTTCTCCGACGAGGTGAGGCAAATTATCCACGCTGACGTCGCCGGAACCCGAGACCCTACCCGAATTCTCAATCATGGGCAAAAAATTCACAGTCGCTGTTTCTAAAATCAGAAAAAAAAGATTTGAACAGAATAAGAAACGAAATCCAGCAATTCACAGATCTGAGATTTTACAGATCAATCAATGAAGAACATCGCAAAAAGGAAAACCAAAATTAATTAAACCCTAAATCGTACACACCTTTGGATTCGGAAAATTTAGGGGTGAGGCCGAGGGAGAGGTCCCCAAAGCTGCCCTTCTCCTTCAAGTACTGGCTCAGAAGGGTACAGGTCTGGGTGAAGCTGGACCTTCCGCCGGAGAACTTGCCGGAATCCATTTTTTTCGACGAGGTCATCTCAAACTTCGATGAAAATTTGATAAGAGGATTTGCGTTTGTGTTGGGCGTGATAGAGATTATAATAATAAATTCCTTTGATAATGAGATTGGGGACTGATTGCTGCTAGGGATTTATATTGGATTATTGATTTTTTTTAATTAATTAATTGAGAAAAATGAATATTAAAAAAGCACGAGGAATATGTGGGTTTTTGTTTGTTTCGTATTCTAAAGCTGTGGGACCCAAGAAAAGACCAATTTGCAGCTGTGTGATGGACAATTATTTTATTTATTTATTTATTTATTTTTATTAAAAAAAATAGTTGTATTAATATTAATATATTATTATTGGTAATGGCTAATGGGTATCGTGGTGGGCTCTTTGACTTTGAGTAAAAAGAAAACGTGTTCTATTTGTGTGTCCAGAAAATATCGGTGCCTGCCCGTTGCGTGTTGCTTTGGAATTAGAATTATGTCCTTCGCTTTGGCGTGTATTTACGTTTTTGTCCAGTGTTTTAA